AATACAAACCAGATTATACATATTTTTTTGAACAGTAAAAGCAATTTTATTTATAGAATACGAGCGGTATTTTTGTCCTTTTGCAGTCCTAGTCATACGGTAGGATCATGGTTTCTATTCTCCTCGTTTGTATTGCTAATACCATTAATAAATTAGCTGTCAAAAATAGAACCCACTAACTCTCCTACCATTAAATCAATTTCCTTTACCGTTATGAATCAACTTTTTACATTCACTTGGTGTGGAAACCCAATCTGTGAAGGAGAATAGCTGCTGCCTTGCTCTCTTTACCAACCAATGGTAAAGACCGTGCTTGAATTAGAGACAGCGATTTCTCCTCGTCCAACTCAATGCCCATAAAAACTTGTTCATTTCTGCACGGCCAAATTGCTCATATAGTAGAAAACCAAACTACCTCCCATTCTACATTACCTCTCGTCCTCCGTCGAGAACACCAGACATAGTGCATCACATAAGTTAAACCCCACCATCTCAAGCATTTTGTCCACTGCAACAGATTATTCCTCCAGGAAACCATGCCAACAACTGTGACATTTTTTTACTAGACAAATATATAATTAAGTATAGAGAATCGTCATAGGTACATAAATAAAGTTACTAATGTAAAAAGAAAGTTGCTATGAGCAGCTTGTGTTACTGGACACTCAACTGTTATAACAGCTTCTTGGGGAGAGTAGATAGTTTGGAAAAACAATAATCTCCACCGACTAAATATCATATTGAAGAGGAGATGCACTAGTTAAGAGAAAAGACAAAGACTATTCAGGTGAGAGAGGGAGAGGGAGGGTAGGTGGCTAGGGTTAATAAAATGTTGCATTGTCTTTGTTTGTGAGATAGTTGTTTTGCAATTTATCTTGTGCAAACTATATATTTTACAGCTATTGATAGAAGGGAGGACCACCTTAATATTAAGGGACCTTGTCTCTTATTAATGGTTATAAAATGTGTAGTTCACACATGGCAAATTATAGATAACTTTTATTGTGAAAATTGAGATATGTGAGTTTCAATGTAAGGTTTACATCCAATTTAAATCTAATCAACATTAGGTAGAATAGTTCTCTCTATATTTAGGTCATATGTTTTTTGTTATGTTTCGATGCAAAGTTTCCTCATTTAATATGCCTTTCATAGGCAAGCCTGGTATGAACTTTGATAACTGTCATGGGAACTTACGCCACGAAGGTACAAGGTTTTATTCAAGAACTTGATCACTTGTAGTAAATTCATTTGACTTCATCATTGCTAAGATGCAACACGAGATGGTGCAAAGTTTCCTCATTTAATATGCCTTTCATAGGCAAGCCTGGTATGAACTTTGATAACTGTCATGGGAACTTACGCCACGAAGGTACAAGGTTTTATTCAAGAACTTGATCACTTGTAGTAAATTCATTTGACTTCATCATTGCTAAGATGCAACACGAGATGGTGCAATGTACTAACAATTATGGGCCTTAAGAGAAGGATTTTTTTTATGAGAAAAAAAATTTTATTGGTATAAGAAAAGCATAGAGGTTACAAGATCAACCATATGGTAGAGGTATTACACTCATAAAATATGTGAGAACATAAAATTAACTTAGATAAACATCGCAACTAGACTTGAACTCAAGATTTAACATTTAAGCCACATTCCAATAATTGACTCTTAGGGTAGAATAATTTAGTTAGGGACCATATCTCCAATCATGCATTCAATAGTTGAAGTAAGTAGAATAATTGATTTGAACCCAATAAATTTGACATTTAAGTTGCCATCCTTCTTTGACAAGAGAAAATCTTGATAAAAAACATTGTGAAAGTAAAGGCAATAACTCTCGAAAAAGAAGGAAAAACCTCTTTAAAAGAAGAAATAATTCTCATAAAAGATGAGAGAACTCCAACCTATAGCTATTCACCCTAACTGTTGAAAGATAAAGGAGGCAGTAGTTAAGAGAAAGAAGGAAATAAGAAAAAGAGTGATAAAAATCTAGGGAGAGAGAAGGGTCAAGAGAAGGATTATTAGTTTTAGTGGTCCCTAGTAAACTAGTTAAAATATGGTGATTGGAATTCTTCTTTGTTCCATGAAAGTAGCTCATGCAAGAAAAAAGTAATGGAGAACAAAAACA